GCTGAAGTACTCTGTATTTTACTGGTGGTCATTTTTACCCTTTTACATGACTTTCGCCTTTAAAAATTCTGGACACTGAAGCAGGTGGGGCTCATGGGATACTTGAAGTGAGACAGAAGGATTCCAGGCAATAAGCAAATCCAGTTTATAAGTCATATACTAGCCAGTATCTCACTTACATACTGTTCTGAAGTCGCTGAAGTACTCTGTATTTTACTGGTGGTCATTTTTACCCTTTTACATGACTTTCGCCTTTAAAAATTCTGGACACTGAAGCAGGTGGGGCTCATGGGATACTTGAAGTGAGACAGAAGGATTCCAGGCAATAAGCAAATCCAGTTTATAAGTCATATACTAGCCAGTATCTCACTTACATACTGTTCTGAAGTCTCAGCTTCCATAGTACGCAACTGCAGCAATACTGCAGGCTGTGCAGAGCTGAACTGATTCTGGTAATCCACAATGTATGGCTCCTTCCAGCTCCCTGGAAACCACGTGGAAGATGGGTTCTGAATGGTCACAAATACACCTTTATGATGGTGAGGAAACATCTCGGTCTTTCTGAAGGGAAAACAATAATCAGAAGAATACTCAGCAGTTCCTTTCCACTACCAAGGGAGACCTGAGTTGCTGTCCATCTAAGTTTCTTCCTTAGTCTAAATTCATCGCTAAACCTAATCTTCCAAAGGAGGGAATTTGCTGAAGTTCCAGTTTGGCATAGGGCTCTGTAAACATTTGCTGAAGCATTCCAAGACTACAGACATTCGCGTACAGACAAGAGCTTTAGAGTCCCAATCCAACGCCCGTGGCAGTCAGTGGAGACAAGGCTAACTGATATTCGTGGGCACTGAATCAGACCCTAAGGAGGAACTTTAAAAAAATCTCATATAAAAAAAAAAGTATTTTAAACTCAATAAAAACATCTTGAAAAGTTAAAATCTTCCTCAGGCGATGGCTCCATTGCAATTGGGGCTACTCACTGAGTAGAGCTTTACAGGACTAATCTTCCACATACAATTTATGCCTCTAAATTAGGGCTTAAATGCCTCATTTCACAACAACAACACAAAAAAAAAACCACCACAGAGGCGTGACCAGTGCAGTTCACAAGAGTCTAGAAGTCTCCCAACTTGTACCAAAAAGGTTCATTTGTTATGACAGTTCATTTGTATTTGCAACTCTATCGTCCTCCAACCGCTTCCCACGATCATGCTCATTAAACTTTAATCTTACAAAAAAATTAGAATTTCAGTTCTTGTTAACAATGCACAATAAATCTCAACTTGAAAATATTACAAAATTCTTTCAAAAGCTTCAAATACAACACAAAAGTGTCCGTTTTTGTTTTTTTTTTTTTAATAAATTGAAAAATCTTTTTCACTAAAATAGTTTCCCCGCCCTTCCAAAAAATTCTGAACTGAGTCTAACTCATCTACAGTTAGCAAAGTGCCCTAGGCACAGTCATCGGGACTGCACCAGCGAGGTGGGAACAAAATCAGTCCGTCTTGGAGAAAGGCTCGTTTCCTATCACCAATACTCTGCCCCCCACTCGTCTGAGTTGCCTTAAGGTTCCTGTTTGATGTAGTAACTGGCAGATCCGTTGCTTTCCTGATCAGATCCTCCTTGAAGGAAGCTGTACTCTTCTCCATCGAGCAACTCCTCCTTCAGCTGCAATGAAGTCACTAAAAATAAAACATGAATATTAAAGATCCAAGAAATTCAAAGTAAGTACAACTTGCCCTTAAATTTACTTAATATTATTCAAATTGGGAACAAACCTCAGATTTCCCGTTTTCTTATATTCTGCATTGTAGTGAATCTTCTAACTCTCAGTATCCCACAGGAAGCAGATGCTTTCTGACCATAAACTGAATCTTAAGTTATAATCTAATATTAACGTATTTGAACAAATTGCTTACAATAATATAGTCTCTACAGGATTTCTCAAGAATTGAGTATTTTAAAACACCGGTTTAATAAGTTAACTAAACAAGTGAATAGGAACAATGACTGTCACTCAGAG